TGAAATCGCATCATATGACCCCTTTAAAATTCATGAAGATTACTATTTGACAAGAGTGTCAGTAGATTATGGAATTGATATAAGAGGCAACAAATATTTTTGTTCATTTGCTCAGTGTTGGCCAATGCAGATACAGTAAATTGGCTGGTATATCACTAAAAGTATATTATATATCACTATTACTGTCACTATTATCATAAAACACTGATAAATCAGTGCATTTATTGAGAAAGTAAATAGAGTCAATTTTGATTTCATGTTGTCACATCACATTTAAACAAAGAGTGGAAGAACGTCTTCAGTGACAGATTAAGAATAATCTCTGCCTTGAAACGGGCGGCTAGTAGATTATGGAATTGATATAAGAGGCAACAAATATTTTTTTGTTTTTTATTTGCTCAGTGTTGGCCAATGCAGATACAGTAAATTGGCTGGTATATCACTAAAAGTATATTATATATCACTATTACTGTCACTATTATCATAAAACACTGATAAATCAGTGCATTTATTGAGAAAGTAAATAGAGTCAATTTTGATTTCATGTTGTCACATCACATTTAAACAAAGAGTGGAAGAACGTCTTCAGTGACAGATTAAGAATAATCTCTGCCTTGAAACGGGCGGCTTTCTGGCATTGTGCTTCCTGGAGTGTTCGACAGTCATTCTTTACGACGTGACAAATTCGTTATCAGTGGCGTTGGTGGAAGGCATATTCAGTAGCATGTGTGGTCACCCCGTTTTCTCTGTCTTTCCATTTCTCGTCTTTCTGGAGCTGGCAGGGCCTCCACTCCATTACACGCTGGGTGAGAAATGGCTGACATTCGTATTCCTTTGATGCCGACCCAGCCAGAGGCAGACATAAGTACGCCACCCGCAAAAAAAAAACAGCGGCTCAACCTGGGGCTAGCTGCTTGTCCAAGACAACGCACAAGAGCTTGGCATTAAATAGATCCAGTGAGCGAATGGTAACAAAGACCGACAGCTCATGGTCCTCGTCCATTCTTCCTCTAGAGCCATCCTACGAACGAGGACAATGGCCACTCTAATCTTTGTTAAAACTGTCTCTCTAACCTGGACCGGCAGAAATGTGAACTGATGACCCAAACGCTGTGTGCATGAGTGAACACTGGGAATAAGCTTTCTTATTCCCATATCTGGTACAATGAGAGCAGGGACAAACGCCACACCCGGAGCCATTCTCTTCTCTAATCTGTCAGGAGTCTGTTTCCCATTACCTGCCATTTCATAACCTTTCCCACTGCATAAATCTTTCCGACGTTGGCACGCTGACTTACCCCCTTTTCAATGGTGCTGGTCTGGCACAGGGTTCCTTCTGCTGCGGGGATACTGTTGGTGACACAGCGGTTACTTTTGCTAAGGCACCAGAGCTCTCTACACACTTCCTAGGAAAGAAGGCAAAAGCAAGTTGGTCAGAATAGATCAATTCTCAAGGGACAGAAAAAATAGACATGAGACCAGCATACTGTGGTGGACTGGTTTCCCCAACAGATTTTTTACAAGGCCGCATGAAATTGCTTCATTTCTGCATTGAAACAAGATGTTTGGGCGGTGCATATTGAAAGGACCTGCCCCTTTTTAATAGCCAATAGGCTGTTGTTACACCAATGCTAATATGCGACTTGCTGGTCAGTGGCATATTTGATTGAACATTTCAGAAAAAATGTTTGCAAGTCTTAATCTGGTGAAACCTATTAGTTAAATTTTCAACCCTATTCAATTTAAAATGTAATTTTTCAAAAAGCTACTCTCTAAAAAATGCTGTCTTATGCTGGATTCAGCCTGTTGGGACATTTTATTGGGTTGTTTTTAATATTTTTACCCATGCTGGGTAGTTTTTTTGGTAACTAAGGCCCTGTCCACACGAATGCGGTTATTTTTAAAACCGCAGCTTTTTCTACGTGGTTAGGCCGTTCGTCCACACGCAAACGCAGCAGCAGGTCACTGAAACCGAACATTTTTGAAAACGCCTGCCAGGGTGAAGATTTTCAAAAACTCCGGTTGCAGTGTTGTCATGTAGACAGCGAAACCGCAGCTTTTTGCTTGTGACGTCGGAGCCTGCGCTGTTATCTCCGCCTACTGGAAACTTTTTCAGGCTTCTGATTGGCCAACATGGCTTTATGGTTGAGATTATATCGCCACCTGTTGGTTAGGCATGCTCTTGACAGTGCTTCATAGCATGCGTTTGCGTTTTCATGTGGACGGAGATTTTTTTTTAAACGGAAGAAGGAAAAACTCGTACATAAAACATAAAAATACCCGTGTACGTGTGGACATGGCCTGAGTTGCTGGGTAATTTTTAATGCTGGGTTATTTTTTTCTACCCAACCACTGGGTTGAGCCTGTCTTCATAGAAACAACCCAGCTGCTGAGTTACAGTCAGAGTGTGGGCTTTTTGTGTCCACTACAGGAGAGAGAGACATTCTCAGCGCCGCTGATTTGGTGCACTTCTTCAGCGAAATAAAGGTTTGTATACCTTTTATTTCATTTATAAAGTCTTTACTGTGCTGTAAATTGTATTATTTTATGCAACGCAACATAAGGACGAGATGGCAGTCAGCTGTGTCAGCAGCGGTCATTTCGCAGAGTCAGTCGTTTCAGCTACGAGTGAAATGCGAGGCTGCAGTCTGAGGTTCACAGTTCCCCCACGAATAGCGAATAGCCACCGGCTAAAAGCACTATTTCGGTAAAAAGAAAATGACAGAGAATGGTTGATTACACTTAAATTAAAATGCTACTTTTAAATGTTACATTGTTTGTGTCTAAAATGCTTGTTAAATGAGTTTAAATGTATGTAATATTGTAAACTATGCTGTATTCACCCAAATAAATTGAATTTGTCTAGTATTTTGTACATGTGTTCTTGCTTAATAATAAATGTTCATCTTTTGATTATTGCTGTTGCCTCTAGTAATTCTGTGTGGGATTTTTAATTTCCAGTCCATTTTAAGCCAGCAACATAATAATTTTTAAACAACAGTTGACTTAAATAAAACAACCCAGCATGTTGGGTAAAAACATTTAACCCAACCAGCTGGGTCAAAATTTAACCCAGCACGTGTTCTGTCCAATATTTACCCAGTGCTGGGTTGTCAAATAACCCAAGTTAGTGTAGCTAAAAGTTGTCCTAAAAGTGCTAGTGTATGCTATTTTAGGAGTATAATACATGAATTAAAATGCTGTTAACTCAAACTTGAAATTGTATTTATCAGTGTTTTGACTAGATAACCAGTAAGGCTTTCTTGGTAAACCAGTTTTTTATTCTAGCATGCTAATCATCACAAAACTCCTTAAAGACCTCACCAATTCAGCAAAATTGCTGTACTAACAAATTGACCAGATGACCTAGTATTTTACAACATTTGCACTATACAGTCAGAAATTATATGGCAATATATAGCAATTATATGGTTATATGGCAACAGGCAAAATCTGGTAAAATGTATGTGCTAAGGTGAGGTCAGATTTATCTTTGTACTGCAAAATTACACAGGTGAAATGCAGTCATAATAGGAATCCATGTGATTAGGAATTTCACATGAGATACACAGATTTCACAGGGATTCAAGTTTGTTGAACATCTAACACACAAATTCACTGTGTTTACCCATATGAAGCTGCTTGGTTTGGACGTGCCCTTGCACAATTTCATTTCCAGCGATACCGTTGACTTGATTGCAAAGATACTATTTAAACTGAGCTGGATGTTGACATCACTGAATTCAATGATGAACTGTCTTTAACTGAAAAATTTGTGTTTACTATTGTCATTTTGCATTATTGACACTATTTTCCTAATTAATGCTGTTCAGTTGCTTTGACACAATCTGTATTGTTAAAAGCGCTATATAAATAAAGGTGACTTGACTTGACTTGACAATTTAGCCAAAGTTTCGCTAGTGTGACCACACCTTAAGTATCTAAGCTTTATTACATGACATTTTGTTGCTAATGTAGATTTGTCTGAGAATCAGTAGGATTCCTGATGCCCTAAAATTTACATCACTTCATAAGATCAGTATAGAAGTAGAAAGTGTCGGTTTAAATTTTTTAGAACTGCCTTATAAGTATTTGACAAATGCACCAAAGAACTAACTTCCATATGCTCTAAAGGAACCATGCTGGGGTCTGAAGTTTGAGCATAGGAAGACATAAGGCTTTCCGTACATTACAAGTGTAGCTTTGTAGAACCCTGCATTAGATTTCCCATTAAAGTGCACCAGCTCCCTTTAAAGCCTGAACTTCACAGGATTTACAGGACAGAGAAGTGCCCCCATGAAAAAGACTTAAGATAGGGAGCACCGCCGCTGACCCCAGGTCAGTAAATAAGACTCAGCTGCCCAGCCCATCCAGATTAAATAAAGCGGCAAACTGCCATAAGGACGAGATGTCAGTCAGCTGCATCAGCAGCGGTTACTTCGCATGATGGAAACGCCTTTTGACTTGCATAACATAAACTGATTTTATTCCTTATAATACTGAGTTTAATTTAATTTGATGTTAAAATATGTTCTCTAATCTCAGTACTGTTTATTTATGGGCAGGTTATGGAGTCAGTCGCGGCATCTTTCAGCTACGAGTGAAATGCGAGGCTGCAGTCTGAGGTTCACAGTTCCCCCACGAATAGCAGCCCTTCACCGGCTAAAAGCACTATTTCGGTAAAAAGAAAATGACAGAGAATGGTTGATTACACTTAAATTAAAATGCTACTTTTAAATGTTACATTGTTTGTGTCTAAAATGCTTGTTAAATGAGTTTAAATGTATGTAATATTGTAAACTATGCTGTATTCACCCAAATAAATTCAATTGTACACTTAAATTAAAATGCTACTTTTAAATGTTACATTGTTTGTGTCTAAAATGCTTGTTAAATGAGTTTAAATGTATGTAATATTGTAAACTATGCTGTATTCACCCAAATAAATTGAATTTGTCTAGTATTTTGTACATGTGTTCTTGCTTAATAATAAATGTTCATCTTTTGATTATTGCTGTTGCCTCTAGTAATTCTGTGTGGGATTTTTAATTTCCAGTCCATTTTAAGCCAGCAACATAATAATTTTTAAACAACAGTTGACTTAAATAAAACAACCCAGCATGTTGGGTAAAAACATTTAACCCAACCAGCTGGGTCAAAATTTAACCCAGCACGTGTTCTGTCCAATATTTACCCAGTGCTGGGTTGTCAAATAACCCAAGTTAGTGTAGCTAAAAGTTGTCCTAAAAGTGCTAGTGTATGCTATTTTAGGAGTATAATACATGAATTAAAATGCTGTTAACTCAAACTTGAAATTGTATTTATCAGTGTTTTGACTAGATAACCAGTAAGGCTTTCTTGGTAAACCAGTTTTTTATTCTAGCATGCTAATCATCACAAAACTCCTTAAAGACCTCACCAATTCAGCAAAATTGCTGTACTAACAAATTGACCAGATGACCTAGTATTTTACAACATTTGCACTATACAGTCAGAAATTATATGGCAATATATAGCAATTATATGGTTATATGGCAACAGGCAAAATCTGGTAAAATGTATGTGCTAAGGTGAGGTCAGATTTATCTTTGTACTGCAAAATTACACAGGTGAAATGCAGTCATAATAGGAATCCATGTGATTAGGAATTTCACATGAGATACACAGATTTCACAGGGATTCAAGTTTGTTGAACATCTAACACACAAATTCACTGTGTTTACCCATATGAAGCTGCTTGGTTTGGACGTGCCCTTGCACAATTTCATTTCCAGCGATACCGTTGACTTGATTGCAAAGATACTATTTAAACTGAGCTGGATGTTGACATCACTGAATTCAATGATGAACTGTCTTTAACTGAAAAATTTGTGTTTACTATTGTCATTTTGCATTATTGACACTATTTTCCTAATTAATGCTGTTCAGTTGCTTTGACACAATCTGTATTGTTAAAAGCGCTATATAAATAAAGGTGACTTGACTTGACTTGACAATTTAGCCAAAGTTTCGCTAGTGTGACCACACCTTAAGTATCTAAGCTTTATTACATGACATTTTGTTGCTAATGTAGATTTGTCTGAGAATCAGTAGGATTCCTGATGCCCTAAAATTTACATCACTTCATAAGATCAGTATAGAAGTAGAAAGTGTCGGTTTAAATTTTTTAGAACTGCCTTATAAGTATTTGACAAATGCACCAAAGAACTAACTTCCATATGCTCTAAAGGAACCATGCTGGGGTCTGAAGTTTGAGCATAGGAAGACATAAGGCTTTCCGTACATTACAAGTGTAGCTTTGTAGAACCCTGCATTAGATTTCCCATTAAAGTGCACCAGCTCCCTTTAAAGCCTGAACTTCACAGGATTTACAGGACAGAGAAGTGCCCCCATGAAAAAGACTTAA